GGTTTAGTTTGGTGTTTTGTCTCACTATGCAGCCCTGGCTGACCTGGAACTCGCTATGTAGACCAGGCTGACCTCAAACTCATAGAGATCCACCTGCTTCTGCCTCCCTCCAAGTACAGGTGTGCACTACCATGCCCAGCCTCTTTTTTTTTTTTTTTTTTTTTTTTTTTTTTTTTTTTTTTTTTTTTTAGGCCCAGAAAGAATGAATAAAATTATATTGATTTTTGATTGGTAATATCCTTCATATGATAATAAAAATGTACAGAAGTTTACAGTGAAATCTCCCTCCCATCCCTGCCCACTGCTAGACAGGTAGAATTTTGATAGTTGCAAGTAGGTACAGAGAGGGGCCTGGCTGGGGTAAAGGTAAACTCAGGCTGTAAATTTAAACCCACATTCATTTAGAAGACTTCTCTGTCAGGGGTCATGTCATAATCCAGGTAGAAGGCTCCAAGGTACTAGACACCTGATTACAGACATAGACTCCAGAAACTGCCCTGATTCAATTCAATCTCTTGAATCTCTTGGGCTCCTTACCTTTCTGTCTCAAACTCTTTAGTTAGAACCTCTAGCTCCATGTTGTAGCTTTCCTCCAGGAGGCTGAGACGGCGTCTCTGCAGAGTCAGGAGCTGGTCAATGTTGTGTAAGTGACTACGCAGGGCGTGGGCATACTGCTCCTCAGCCTCCGTCAGGTCCTTAGCTAAAGACTGGGCAAGGGAGAAGGGGAGAGGGAGGGAGAGAGGGAGGGAGGGAGGGGACAGAAAGGAGAAAATTAACATTCTTGCCAAATGATATCTGTGAGAAAATCAAAATGGATTAAGAGGGGCTGAAAGATGGTTCAGTCTAGCAAAGCGTTTGCCGTGCAAGCACAATGACCTGAGTTTGGATCCTCACGTAAAAAGCCTAGTGTGGTGGCACCCCTCTATTCCCAGAGCTGGGGTGGTGGAGACAATTCCTGGGGTTTGCTAGCCGGCCAGCCTAGCCAAATTGGTGAGCTCCAGGTTCAGTGAGAAACTCTATCTATCTCAAAAAATAGGGTGAAGAGCAAATGAGGAAGACATGTGATGTCAACCTCTGGTCCCCAAACCCACGTACAAAATACACAAATGTGCTTCAGTGGATGGCATGATGACATTTTCCCCTTAGCTCCTATTGACTTTAGGAGTGCTGCCCATTTCGGTCTTGAAGGTAAAGTAAGAATGACATCAAGAAGCCTTGTGAAGCTGGGCGTGGTGGCACACGTCTTTAATCCCAGCACTCCTGAGGCAAAGGCAGGATCTCTGCCTTTCGAGGCCAGCCTGGTCTACATAGTGAGTTCCAGGCCATCTGGGCTACAAAAAAAAAAAAAAAAAAAAAAAAAAAAAAAAAAAAAAAAAAAACACCTCATGAAGTCAGCCAATGTCCTGTAGACAACCAGCATCACAGTGATGGAGCTACTAGGAGTTCTTGGAGATTTGGTTGTTTTGAGGGTAGAAAGCAACTTGAACCCAGTTTCTCTTCTCACACAGAATAGCAGGTGCAGGCATGGTGATGCACACTTACATTACTAAAGCAGGAGGATTGCAAACACAAGAATTAAAGGGTTAGGGATGCAGCTCACCCAGCTTGAGGCCTAGGGTTCAATCCCCAACACTACAAAACCAAAAGCAAAGAGATTATCAAAGACTGATTCAGGGACCAGCGTGAACTGGCTTACTGTGGCACGCGGTGGTTCCCAAAGATGAGCACAATGTCGCCCATCCTACAGTTTTCTGAATGTGACTTTGTCGCTCTTCTACTTGTCTTATTGGGGTGACACACTTGTAATCCCTGAACTTTGGGGGCAAGAAGATCATGGGTTTGAGGCCAGCCTATGAAAACTTGTCTCACAGAAGGAGAAAAGAGGCAGAAAGATGGGGGTGGAGAGTGGGAAGGAAGAGGGACCAGAACAGGTGGCCTCTCCCATGTCCTTGAAGTCGACTAGAGCCCATGACTGTTGGGATCAACAGAGCAGTGAAAGTGACACTGCCAGTTCTAAGCACAGCCCTTACCTGGCCTGGCAACTTCTACTTCCTGTCTCTTTTTCTTAGGATGCTTCCTCCAGGAACTTAGCCAGCATGCTTGGAAAAGCCCAAAGTATATGGAGAGGTCATGTGAACTCTAATTGGCACCTTAGCTGAGCTCCTAGCAGACAACTGAATCAGTGCCAGCAATTTAGTATACCCAGCCCAGTAAGGCCTTGAACGGTAGTCCCAACTGACAGCTGACTGAAAAATGTCCTTATTTGTGAGAGTCTTTAAGAAAAGCACCATGAAGCTATGGATGTGTTCTGTAAACTTCTGGGAAATGTGAACAAATACCTACTCACCCCAGATAAGAAGCAGACCAAAGTAATGATTCCACTAGAGTCCAGCTTGGTGAACTAATTAGTTTATTGGGGTTCCCTAGAGGAGCATGGATGACTTAAAGGCAACTGCATCACTGAAAGCCCACCCCAGTGAGGGCGCTGACTAACAAATGCTGCTTCCCTGCAGCTCTGCACAACTTGCAAGTAGCTCAGCTGGTCTGGGATCACCTTTGCCTAGCTTATCTAACCTTCCAAGGGGCCTTGGGAATCTGGTTTTCAGGAACTTCCTGAGTCTGGTAAATTTTGTTTACTTCCTGAGTCTTAATGAGCCTCCCTCAGCATGGAATGTTTAATTTGGAGGGAATTTCTACACAACAGGGTGGGGTCCAGCAATTGAGTCCTTGCCTAGCAAGCTCAAAGCCCTGGCTAAATCCCAGGTATGCAAAAGATGAACCACATAGTTCAGTGCCTATAGAAGCATAAAATATAATAATCAAATAATCAATTGTTTTAAGACACTAATCCAGGGGTGGTTTGTTATATAGCAGTTGGTGGCAGGAACATGTCTACTGGGGGGGGGGGCAAGGGACAGTTCGAGCACCATGGGGGATAACTGCAGTGAGTTGAAAAGTAAATATTCTGATTATATTCTCTCAATTATTTGCTAACTTCCAATAAGAGTTTGGATAAAGACACTTAAAAATGCATAAGGTCAGGCTGGCAAGATGGCTCAGAGGGTAGAGGGACTCACTGCACAAGCGTGATGACCAGAGTTCAGTTCCTGGAACCAACATAAAGGTAGGAGAAAACTGACTCCAAAGTTGTCCTCTGACCTCCACGTGTGCACACACTCAATAATAGTCTTTTTGGGAGGAGTAGCTATTGAAACAGGTCTTACTATAGAGCCCTGGCTGGCCTAGGACTCGCTATATAGGCCTGCTGGCCTAGTACTCACTATAAAGACTTTGCTGGCCTAGTACTTGGTATATAGCTCTGGCTGGCCTAGGACTCGCTATATAGCCCTGCTGGCCTCGAACTCATAGGATGTCACCTGCCTCTGCCTCTGGGGTGCTGAGATTAAAGGCATGTGCCACCACACCTGGCAAGTTTATAAAAAATTAAAAAAAAAAAAAAGCTGTAAGGTAGCTGGGCGTAGTGGCTCAAACCTACAATCCCAGGGCTTGAAATGCTGAGGCAGGAGCACTGTTGTGAGTACAAGGCCAGCCTGAGATTACAAAGCACAGAAAGGCGAAGTGCCTGCCAAGCAAGCATGAGAACCCAGGTTTGGACCCCCAGAACCCAGGCCGGGTGGCACACCTATAACTCCAGCACTGGGGTGGAAAGGGGTGGAGACCAGTGGATCCTTGAAGCTCATTGGCCAGGCAGCCTAGCCCAATCAGTGAGCTTTAGGTTCAGTGAGAGACCTTTTCTCAAAGAATGAAAGGTGGAGTGCTGGCTTCTGCAGCACATATACTAAACTGAATGATACGGAGGAGGTTAGTGTGGCCCTATGCAAGGATGACAGGCAAATTTCCAAATGTGCCTATTTTATAAATAAGGTGGAGTGCAGTTAAGGAAAGACACTTGACATTGACCTCTGGTCTCCTCATACCCTTAACAAACACTACACATACCCCAAACCCCAAAACCCAAGAGTTGGGGATGTAACTTAGTGGCAGAGTGCTTGTCTAGCATGCCCAAGGTCCTGGGCTTGATCCCAAGTACCAAAAAGAGGAGGAGGAGGAAGAGGAGGAGGAGGCAGAAGCAGCAACAGCAGCAGCTGCTATAAGGTATAACTTCCAGTGTGAAGCTAGATCTGCGGAATCCCCTCCTTCCCTGGAGGTTGGGCTGTTAAGGAGTGGGAGCTGTGTGTCTAGGGAGAAAATACCAAATTGGCAGTGAATATTTGCTGTTACTGTGGAATTTTTTTTGTTCTGTTTTCTTTGAGATAGGAAATACTAAAGAGGTAGGCTATAAAAGGTAGGATTTAAAAAGGGATGCAGGACTGGAGAAGATTCTGGGGGCTAGATTCTCATGTCTACCAATGGTTATGAGACGCACAAAAAAAAAATGAAGCACATGCTGCCCAGTGGCTTCCAGAAGTTCCTGGTCCACAATGTCAAGCAACTTGATGTGCTCCTGATGTGTAACAAATTCACCATGCTGAGAATGAGTATTTCCTCCAAGACAAAGCCTTTGTGAGGAGGGCAGCACCGCTAGCCATAGAGTGTGATCCCAGCGCCAGGCAACACAGCAAAGAAAATGAATAGGAAGCTCACATGCACTTTTACTTGTGCTTAGATACAATTTTTTAAAGGGGAGGGGATGAAGCCAGTGAAATGGCTTAGTGGGTAAGTGTACTTGTCATACAAGCCTGATAACCTGAGTTTGATCTCCAGAACCCATGGAAAGCTGGAAGGAGAGAAGCTACTACACAGAATTGTCCTCTGACCTCCACATGTGCACCATGGCATGCACACACACACACACACACACACACACACACACAATCACACAATCACACAATTTTGGAAAATGGGTGCAGCAAAATCCCTTAGAAGAAAAGATGAGACAGAATCAAGAACTTCTTAAGAGCCCAAGGAAGGGGCTGGAGAGACGGTTCAGTGGTTGAACACTGGCTGCTCTTGCAGAGCAGGTTTGATTTGCAGCCCCCATGTGGCAGCTAACAACCATCTGTAACTCCAGTTCCAGGGGATTCAGTGCCCTCTGCTGACCTCCACGGGCACTGCCCAACATGTATGGTATACTTACACACATGCAGGTAATACACTCATACACATAAAATAAAAATAATAAAATATTAAAATAGAGCCCAAGGATGGAGCCAGGCTAGTGGCACATGCCAGTAATTCTAGACTCAGGAATGCTGAGGTAGGATTTAGTTTGCAGCTAGTCTGGGCTACACAATGGGATTGTTTTAACCCTCTTTCCTCCAAAAGAGCAAAAAGGGGTTACTGAATGGCTTAGAAACTCAAAACTCTTGCCCATGGAGGGCTTCCCAACCTTGTCCAGGGCCACTGAAGTTAAATAAAGGTTAATGAAACAGTGAAGTGGGAGTCAGAATACCCACACCTTGCCGGACATGGTGGCATGTGCCTTTAATTCCACCATTTGGGTGGATCTCTGTGTTTAAGGCCAGCCTGGTCTACAGAGCAAGAGAGCCAGGGCTGCCGGGTGAGACCCTATCTTAAAACAAATAATAAGCAACAAAAACCAAATCCATACCCCAGTCCCAGCTTTCACTGACTAGAGCTACACAGTCTTGCGCAAATCAGTTCCCTCTATGGAACTAAGCCTTCTGATACTGAAATAAAGGCGTGGGACTAAGTTCAAGTCACCGGTTGAGGTCTATTCTGCCTTACAACTCTAATATTGTATAGTACTTGTTTGGGGCAGTAATTACCAATGATAGTGGTCCTCTAATGAAAGGAGAGGGATGAGTGACAGTTCAGTATTCCAGTTCTCATTTCAGTGAAAACTAGCATAACCAGTAGGCTGGATTTGTCTTAACCTGTGCCTTGTGAAGGTTTTAAGACTGATTAGTTAGATCTGGGTGTGGTGCTCATACCTGCAATCCCAGCAGCTGAGAGGTAGAAGTAGGAAGATGAGGAATTCAAGGCCATCCTCAGCTACATAGTGAGTTTGAGGCCCAGGGATACATGACATCTTGTCTCAAAAACCAAAAACTAATTCACTAGGCCTATTTTATTAAGAGCGTTGGTCAAGGAAGCCACACTCCTGTTTCTTTAGAGAGAGTGCTTACCTTGATAACACTGTCCTTACAGTCTATCACTCGTTCAAATGTCTGGCTGAGAATCTCAATGTCCTTCTGAAGCTCTCTGGTCTTGACTTCCCTAAGGACAGTTCTCCACTGTGTGTTAATCTTATTAAGGTTCAGAGCACTGTTGTGTTCCTCTTTCGCCAGCTTGTCCTGTGTGAGGAGTAAATACATGGAGAATGCCAAGACCAAAGCTCTACCACAGCACAACAAGCAAAAGCACTCTGAGTTTGTCAGCTGACCTCTTAGCCCTTGTATTTTCTCAAGCGCCAAAGCTCTTGGAGGCTAACGCTCCCGGGGCTACTGTTTGTGTTTTGAGAAGAACAGGAGCAGCCTGGTGGCATTTTAGGGAGGGCAAGAATGAGTTTCCTTCTGGGTGAAGCATCAGAGCAGGATATTGTTTCTAATGCTCCAACTCCAGGCGGAGTATCAGAATTCAAGACAGCTGCACTTGGACGGCTGACAACATCTACTGTCCTAATTCTGGGGCTCAGTTGAGACTGCCAACCTCTGTCCCCTCCTCCCCGCGCTTCACAGAGAACTCTCCAGCTAGCAAACAATGTGTTGCTTGAAACCTAAGTATGTCGGGACTAAGGGCCTCGGAGGGGGTAAAGCCGGAAAGAAAGCGAGGCTGCCACGGTGCCTTGGCCTAGCCAACGGCGCCAGAGCGCGGGCGGGCGGCTCGGGGCAGGGCACGCCGCGGATAACCGTCACCTTCAAGAACTGGCTGAGGAGCCTCTCTTTCTTCTTGGCTGCCTCTTCCTCCGACAGCACCTTCTGCTGAAACAGAAGCAGCTGCTCCTCATCCGACAGGGGTAATTTGGGCTTCTTTCCCTTCTTAGGCATGGCTGGGCGGTGGTCCAGGCACGGAGCCTCGGCTTGTACCGCGTGCGGACGAAAGCGATGCCCTGGACCGGCCTTCGGGAGCTAAGGCAGGGGGACCCCAGTTACGCCTCAGTCCTGGGGCAACAGAGCGGGGGCTAAACGTGAGATCGGCGCCCCTGAGGAACGATGCTTCTCGTCTCCTAGCAACAAGGACCCGCGCTAAGACCGTGCGGTGAGACATTGGGAAGAAGCCCTATCTTGACGCGCCCCCTGCCTGCTGGAGGACCGCAGTCGGCTTTTGTGAACGAGCCTTGAAAACCCCAGTTGCCTTTTTCGTTGTTTGTTCTTAGAGACAAGGACTGGCCGTGTGTCTCTTGGCTAGCCTGGTACTCGATATGTAGCCCAGGCTTGCCTAGAACTCATGGCAGTTCTCTGGCCGACCTTCTAAATGCTGGTTGGGATTACAGGTGTGTGTGATGCACACAATATATTCTTTCTCTCTCTGTCTCTCTCTTTGTATCTCTGTCCCTCTCCATCTCTCTCTGTACCTCTTTACGACTGAGCTGTATCTCCAGTCAGTTTTTGACTTTTTTACTTTGAGACAAGGTCTAGTTAAGCTGCCAAGACTGGCCTTGAACTCTCTGTAGCCCACCCATACTTACACACACACACACACACACACACACACACACACACACACGTCTGCTTGTTTTGAATAGGATTGCCAGAGTAAAGAAGGTAATGTCAAAATGCTGGAGAGAACGGAGGAAACAGGAAAGCTCATAGATTGCTTGTACAACTGGAAAATGCTACAGAGACTTTAAAAAGCAGTTTGAACCCAGCGTGGTGGTGCACACCTTTAATTCCAGCCTTTGAGAGGCAGAGGCAGGCAGATCTCTGTGAAATTGAGGTCAGTCTTGTCTACTTAGCAAGTTCCAGGCCAGCTGGGACTACAGGGTGATCCTGTCTCAAAAACAAGCAAAGAAAGAACAAAAAGCAAGCCAACCAAAGCAATTTGACAGTTTCCTGAGATATAAAACCAGTTTACCATGTGACTAAGAAACTTCGCTATTAAAGGTCTTGAGGGTTGGAAATGTAGCTCAGATAGAGCATTTACCTAACATGAAGGTCCTGGGTTCAGTCCTCAGTGCTGCAGCAAGGCAAGAAGGTCTTGAAAGGCATGTTCACACAAAAACTTGCACAGGAAGGTTCTCACCTGTATCATTTCTAGTTGCCCAATTGGAAAATTTGGAAACAACCCAAATGTCCATCAGTGGGTACATAATATGTGATACCATACAATGGAATATTACTCAAAAGTAAGGAACAGAGTATGATTCCTGATGCATTGTGAATGACCCTCAAAACTTGTGCATGGGAGCTGGGGAGACGGCTCAGAGGTTAAGAGCACAGGCTGCTCTTGCAGAGGACCCAGTTTAGGTTCCCAGCACCCACATGGCCGCTAACAATCATCTGTAACTCCAGTTCCAGGGGATCTGACATCCTCTTCTGGCTCTTCACAGGCATTGTATGACATGAGTACACTTACACAAACACTCATACACAAGCTGGGCGTGGTGGCACACACCTTTAATCCCAGCATTCAGGAGGCAGAGGCAGGCGGATCTCTGTGAGTTCAAGGCCAGCCTATAGCGAGTTCCAGGACAGCTGGGGCTACAGGGAGACCCTGCCTCAAAAAGACAAAAAAAATTAGAAATAAAAAATAAATAGAATTATATTAAGGATTACGAGGGGCTTGGGAAGAAATGAGGTTTAGACTGTCATGAAAGTGAGCTCCTATGATTGGATTTGTATCCTCAGAAAAAAAGCAACCAGAGCTGCCTCTCTTGGCCTTGTGAGTAGAGTGTACCAGAAATCAGACCTCTGAAACCAGGGAAGAGCCCTGTCCAGACACCAGCTCTGTCAGCACTTTAATCTTAGACTTATTAGTCTCTAGATAGTAAGAGGTAAGTGCTTGTTGTTTAAGCCACACACAGTATAGTATTCTGGTCTAGCAATTTGAATGAAGATAGTTATTCTTTGTGTAGGGAGAGAAGATTAATAGTAAACATACATGGGGGATCATTGTGGAATGGTGAAATGTGCTAAAACACAGTCATTTGGGCAGCTTGATAAGTTTGGTGGTTTTTTAAAAAGTTTTTTTTTTTTTTGGTCTTTTTGAGGCAGGGTCTCCCTATAACCCCAACTGTCCTGGAACTCACTATGTAGACCAGGCTGGTCTTGAACTTGAACTCACAGAGATCCACCTGCCTCTGCCTCCTGAGTGCTGGGATTAAAGGCGTGTGCCACCATGCCTGGCAAATTTTATTTTTATTGTGTGTGTGTGTGTGTGTGTGTGTGTGTGTGTGTGTGTGTGTGTGTGCTGGTGCCCTCAAAGGCCAGAGGAAGGTGTCAGATCACCCAAAGCTGGAGTTACAGGTGAAGAGATGGGAAGCTAGGACAGGAGAATTGACTATAAGCTGAAATATGCATTGTACCAGCAGGAACAAGAGCTCTTGCCTCAAAACAATGTGGATAAAGCACGCACGCACACACACACACACACACACACACACAAACTAAATAAATGTTTAAAACAATCATTGAGGAACTGGAGAGATGACTCAGTAGTTTAGAGCACTGGCTGCTCTTGCAGAAGACCCGGGTTGGAATCCCAGCACGCACATCGCAGCTAATAACTGTCCATGACTCTAGTTCCAGGGGATTAGACACCTTTTTCTGTCCTCCACAGGGATTGCATGACATGGGTGCACTTATAGACATGCAGGCAATACACACATAAACATAAAAAATAATAAAAAATTTTTTTGGTCTTTTTGAGACAGGGTCTCCCTGTAGCCCCAGCTGTCTTAGAACTTACTATGTAGACCAGGCTGGCCTTGAACTCACAGAGATCTGCCTGCCTCTGCCTCCTGAGTGCTGGGATTAAAGGCATGTGCCTATTCTTTTTAAAAAAATATTTTATTATTGTATGTGAATATGTGTTTTGCCTGCATGTATATAAGTGTGCCATGCATATGCCTAGTGCTCACATAGGCCAGAAGAGGATGTCAGATCCCCTGGAACTGGAGTTAAGGACAGGTGTTAGCTATGGGTGCTGGAAACTTCTGCTGGAAGAGCAGGAAGTGGACTCAACTGCTGAGCCATCTCTCTAGTCCCCGAATTATAGTCTTGAAAAGGGTGGATTAGGGAACAGTGGTGGCACATGACTATAATTCTAGTACTTGGGAGGCTGAGGCAGTAGGATTCACTGTGACATCTGCTCAGGCGGTTATGTCTAAATGAGAAAATAAATAGGGCTAAAGATGTTGCTCAGTTGGTAGAGTGCTTGCTCAGCATGCATGAAACCCTGGGACTGATCCCCAGCATCACATGACATCAGGTGGCTCTTGCCTACAATCCTAGCACTCAGGAGATAGAGGCAGAAATTAAGGTCACCCTTAGCTGTGTAGTAAGTTTCAGACCATCCTGGGATACAGAGACTCTGTCTCCAAAAAACAAAAAGTAAATCAGAAAAGTAAATAGGCTGGGCGTGGTGGCACACACCTTTAGTCCCAGCACTTGGGAGGCAGAGGCAGGTGGATCCCTGTGAGTTCAAGGCAGTCTCGTCTACATAGTGAGTTCCAGGACAGCTGGGGCTACAGGGAGACCCTGTCTCAAAAAGACCAAAAAAAAAAAAAAAAAAGTAAATAGATCAGATGTGGCAGCATATGCCTTTTAGTCCCAAACACTTGGGGAGCCAGGCAGATCTTTGTGATTTTCAGGCAAGCCTCGTCTATCTACATAGTGATTTCCAGACCAGTCGAAGCTACATACATTTAAAAAATATTTTAGATCTACCCCATTTTCCTACCCCCCCACTTCTGTCTGCTCTCTAATTTTTTAAGGTCTATTGAATGCAATTTGTGTTCCCCCAATACTGTTGGGTGTAGGCCAACTTACCTGATATCACACTTTTAAAGAAAACAAACTCTTTGTCTCCCAGCAGCTATCAATTGCCAATAGTTCCTCAGCTAGGGATCAGGTCTCTTGCTCACCTTCTCCAGCCATGTTGGGGCTACCTATATTTTTGAGACCCCGTCTCAAAAAAGATAAATAGGAAAGAAAGAAAAAGAAAGGGGCTGGCTTATGAGATATGCAAAATGTCCCACAAAGTTGTTTGAAGTACTAAATATAAAGTTCATATTCAAGTTCTCCAGAGAAAGACAACCAGTTGTGTTTCCTGTAAGGAACTGATTCATGTGATTATGGGGATTGAAAGTTCTGCACTTGATAGCTGGAGACTGAGGAGTGCTGAGATTTAACTCAAGACCCAAGAAGAAGTGATGTTTCAGTCTGTGCCAGAAGACCAAAGTCAGTGTCACATCTCCAACATAGAGGCAGGGTTCTTGGATGAGCCAAAGTAAATTAGAAGGACAGCCTACTTTATTCAGTTTACTGATTCAGACATTAATCTCACTCAGAAACATCCTCACATATACCCATAGTAATATTTGACCAAATTTCTGGGCGCTCTGTGATTCAGTCAACTTGACACATAAAATTAACTCTCACAAACATTCCCTTACAACATGCATGGCACTTCTATTGCCAGCTTCCCCTTGGCCTGAACCCCGCTGCCATCGGGTGACCTTTGCACACAGGTCCCCATAGAGGAAGGTCGTGGCGAGGAGAGAGACCCATCGGGGGAAGGAGGCTTAAGGTGGCCATGAGTATGGGGCGGGGGGAGGGAACGGGGGGGACGGGGACAGACACCCGAGAGGCTGTGTCAGTGGACAGCTCGTTTGTTATGGTGGAAGAGGAAGAAAGTTATATAGGAAAGTGGTGGGGGTTGGGTTTTCTGGCAGGCCAGCAGGTAGGGGGAGAGAGGGGCTACTAAGTCTACATGGCCTTTGTACCATCCTCCGGTAACATAATCTACAAGGGACCTGGTTAGGGTTAAAGGATTAGAGGCTTAATGGTTTTGTTTGGGGGTTGTTGGGTAAGAGACAATGTCCCTAGAATGGAGCGGGCCAGTTTCCTGCTGACCTCACTAGGAGGTATTCTGCCTGGTGGCCGTGTTCTACATCCCAGGCACTCTTGACTTATCCCAACATCTCCCCCTTTGTCTTTTATAAGGGATGGGTGTCATCAAAATTGGAGAAGGTATTAGGGATAGTTTGGTACTGGACCAGGACTTGGTTGGTGGCAATTTTAATGATGTCCTATATGCGACCTTTGAAAAATTGAATTAGGGTGTCACGAGAAGCAGGGTACATAAGGCTAGCAGGGGGCCTAACAAGGGTAGGAGCCAAGCAAGGAGGGGGTTGGAAAACCATGGAGTCCCTCCTGGATTGGAGAGGGCCCGGAGGCTATTCTTTAGGTCTTGGAGAGTTTTGGCATCTTGTTCAATGGTTCCGGATTCTTGTTCAGCTGTTAATAAGTCAAGGGCCCT